ATGCTTTGCTGGAGAAGGAGGGACAATCTCCTCCTGTACCAGTCAGATCTGATTTGATGGTACACACAAAAAATAATAATTTATTTTTAAAAAAAGAGCTGTAACACTACCAGTCCCTTTAAATGAGGTGTTCGATTTTTGCCAGAACTGACTAACAACAGAATTGTTAGAATGGACCCCGGTCATAAGTTGGAGACCACCTGTAAGCTCTCTCTCCGTCTTCCTCTGTTTCTCGTTCTGCCTTTTTATTGAGACAAACTTTCATATAATGAAGTGCACACAGCTTCAAAATCCGATTCAATGAGTTTTACATGATCAGTCATGCCTGCACCACCATTGCCCAGATCAAGATAAGGATGTTTTTAAATGCCAGCACAGACCATAGGATCCCTGGGAGTGCAGTGTGTTCTAGTGTACTGGATGCTAACCAAAGGTCAGCAGTTCAAACTGGCCAGTTACTCGTCCAAGAAAAAGTCTCTTCCTGTGAGTATTTACAACTATGGAGGGTCAGTGAGTTGAAAGTGACTTGATGGCAGTGTGTTTAGTTTAGGTTGGGGACACATCCTTTGGAAATGTGTCTGGGAGCGCAGCCTCAGACCTCACTGCTGTTCAATTGGGACCACTTCATAGCTGACCCGCCAGCAGGTTTTCAGAGGCTGTTAATCGCATGAGAGATTGCCCATCTTTCTCCCAAGGAGCAGCTGGTGGGACTGGAACTGTCCTTATGGATTGGCAGCTCGACTCCTTCCTCCTGTAGGAACCGGAACTCTCATGGGAAAGTGGAGGCATCAAACCATAGAGAATGAATTGTCACAATGATTATAATGCTGACTCCAACACGGCACTGAGGATGGTCAGGGATTGTGTGCTGTTTGGTCAGTTGTTCAGTAGGCTCATTACAAGGTGGAGCTGACTAGATGGCACCCAATGACAACGAGGGAGCTTTGAGGGTTTAGTAGTAAAGAATTGCACTGTCAACACAAGGGTCGGTGGTTCGAATCCACCAGCTTCTGTGTGGCAATAAGATGGGCAGTCTGCATCTGTGCAATTTACTGTCTTTCTTTTTTATTTATTTATTTATTTTTTTTTCTATAATTATATTTTATTAATTTTCATAAACATTTACAGAGATTTCGGGTTTCCATTCATTCATTTTTGCACTATTCAATTTACTGTCTTTCTAAACCTGCTGGAGGGTCAGCTATGAGTTGGTTCTGATGCAACGGCACACAATAATGACAAGGACAACAACAAATCAGGTGGCAGTTATGTTACAGGGCTGCTGTACCTTGTCCAGTAGGGTCGCTATGAGTCAGAGTTGATGCAGCAGCAATGGGTTTGAGTTTTTGAAAACTCTCTGTTGTCTCTTCTCAGCCAACCCCACTCTAGAGGCAATTGATTCTATTCCTGTCACCACACAGTAATTCGGTCTGCACTTGACCTTCATATGAACGGAATCTTAGAATGTGCTCTTGTGTGTCTAGCTCCTGCCCTCAGCATTACTTCTGTGAGACCGAGTCACACTGTCTCATGTACCAGGGGTCCATTCTTTTTCTTTGCTGTTTAAATTTAAATTGTGTTTAAAATACAATTTCAACCATAACACTAGCCCTAAAGCTAAATCTCAAATGACAAAACCCAAGCATAACCCATACATTAGCCCTAAACCTACGTCTAATCATAAACTAAAATCTAATTCTAAACATAACTCTAACATGAAACCTAAATAAAAAGCCTAACCCTAAACATACCTCTAACCATAATCACTAACCCTAAACCTAACACAAAACCTAAATTCAAAATGAAAACTTAACTGTTGGAGAAGTTGAAGAACTGTTGAAGTTACAGCCAGAACAAACAACCAGGGTGCTCTTTAGAGACAAGAATAGTGAAACTTCATCTCATGGACTGTGTGCATGTTGTCAGGAGGGCCAAGTCCTTGGAAAAAGACATCATGTTGGTAAAGGTGGAAAGACAAAGAAGAAGGCTCAACAAGATAGACTGACACTGTGGCTGGAACATTGGGTTTGAGCATGTCAGAGCTGGTGAGGCTAGCCCTCAGGACTGGGTAAAGACCCGCAGGGTAAGAAATACTCCCATATACAGATGGGCAAGCTGAGGCCCCACAAGGGGAGGGACTTCCTGAGGTCAACAAGAAGGCTGAGGCCCAGCTTTCCAACTGTGTTATGATCTGACCCTTCCAACTTGATTTTGTCTAGGAATCTAAAAGGCAGGAAGCAGCTGTCAGGCTGGTGAGGCCAGTGCTCATCTCCTACTATCCACTTAATTCAGGAACCAACTCCTATGGTCTCCACGACTCAGGACCCTTCTCTCAGGGATCTTTCCCACAATCCCCCTCTTCAAGAATCCTCTCATTCCTCCCATCATCTTTTTGCCCTAGAGCTCCTCTCCTTCAGTACTTGTCTCTGGAACTTCTCACAATCTCTTTTGCCTCTGGACTCCATCTCACTTCTTTAACTTAGAGATTCATGTCTCCATATAACCCCTTATTCAGGGTCCCCCAAATCCCAGGTTCCAAGCCCAAGTTCCCACAATTCCTCTATTTCTGAGCCCCACCTCCCATAATCCTGCTAATTCAGGTCTCACGACCAACCATTCAAGGCCCCACTCCCACACTTCCCCATCTCTTGAAACCCTGTAATTCAAAGCCCAGTCTCCTTTCAACTCCAATTGTTAAACAAGCTGAACTCCAGAACTTATAATGATCATAACATTCATTTTTTTTAAATTGGTATTTTAATTAAAGCTTATAAAGAACTTGAATTTCCATTCATTTTTGCACAGTTTCCTCCCTGTCCCCCCTCCACCCCCAGATCATAACACTCTTAATAATGTAGTATAAATGGCAAATGACTACAACTTCTTCAAAAGAGGCTTGTTGGCACAATGGTGAAGAGCTTGGCTGTCAACCAAAAGGTTAGCATTTCAAACCCAGCCAGCAGCTCTGCAAGAGAAAAACCTGATGACCTTCTTCCAAAAAGATTACAACCAAGAACCTCTGTGGGGCAGTTGTACCCCATCATATCCATGGAGTCACTCTGAGTCAAGATGAATTCACTCAACGGTACATAATGAAAGCACAATTTATTGGACACTTTATAAAGTGCCAAGACTTCTAAATAAGTGATATGGTTATTTCACTGAATCATCACCCACAGCGTGGTACCTTTAGACAAAGGTATGGAGCAACTTGGTCAAAGCCACACAGTCAGGATTTGCACACACATTTGAGTTTGCAGAACCTCACCTTTTTCTTACACCAACTCCCTCTTTTTCCCCCCTCAACTCCTTCTTTTTAAAAAAAAAAATCTTTCCCATCTTAGGCAAAGTGCATGGCAGGAGAGGGGACTAGTCTTAACCTATTCATCCCTGAGAGCCCAAAGGATGAGGGAATGAGCTTTGTTCTGAACCCAGGTATCTTCTTCAGCAACCAAAGCAGTCTCAGTAGCCTTTGCTCCTAGCAGAAAGTAGGAGGTAATTTCCACAAATTCTCTGTTTTCATGTTATTCAGATGCAGTCCATGGACCAGTAGAATCAGCTTCACCTGGAAACTTGTTAGAAATGCAAATTAATGAACTCCATCCTAATCTGAAAATTAGATGACAGAAGACAACTAGATGCCTTTTGAGTTGTGGTGATGGTGAGGAGTATTGAACTATCAAAAGAACAAACAAGTCTGTCTTGGAGAAAGCGCAACCAGAGTGCTCCTTAGAGGCGAGAAGACACCCTGCTGGGAAAGGTGGAGGGTCAGTGAAGGAGTGGAAAACTCAACAAACTGGATCAGTATAATGACAGTAACAATGGACTCAAAAAGGTCTATCAGACAGAGATGGTGAGAACGTCTGTCGTTCAATAAAGTGAATTAAGGTCAACTCAATGGTACCTAACAACTGCTCTAGGAATTAATATTTTATCGAACTCTCCAAGTGGTGTTTTGGGTTTTATGTCCACCAGAGGCTTGTTTTGAGTTTGACAGTCTGAGAAGGACCACTTTATACTGTTTGTCTTCTCTGCAAAGGAGTACACATTGACTTCTACCATTAAAACTAAAGCCAAACCAAGACCACCACCATCGAGTAAATGTCGACTCCTGCCACCCTAGCGTTTCCATAACACCCTCACTGCCAGGTGCCCACTTCCCAACCTCTGAACGCCACTTCCACAAGGCACAAAAGCCTGCCTCAGCAGTACATCTGGACTACATTTCCCAAAGCACTTTGCGACCGAGACCGGCTTACTGACGACCATCCAGGCACCAGAGGGACTACAACTCCCACAATGCTCGGCGACAGAACCCCGCCCCCCAGCGGCTCCACGTCCCCTCCGCTGGGTGGGGCTCGGCTCGGGAGCGGCGGACAGGGTCCTCGGGCCCGCGGCTCGTTACAGCGGTTCTCCCGTGTGACCGTCCAGACATGGCGGCCGAGAAGGACCAGCAAAAAGATGCCGAAGCAGAAGGGCTGAGCGCCACGTGAGCGACCCGGCTCCAAACCCCCAACCTGGGTCTCGGGAGTTCAGGCCCTCGGCTTCCTCCTCCCACGGGTCCCCAGGAATCTAGGTCCCAGTTCTTAGACACAGAGTCTAGGCCTCTAGTCCCCTTCTTTCCTAGGACTCAGTTTGGGGCTCATCTGAGATCTAAGAGTTTGGGCCCCTCCCAAATCCCCTCCCCACTCCCCCCCAGGTCCCCGGGAGGCGGCCCCCTCAGCCGGCTTCCTCTGGGCTCTGCCATCCCGGCCTCCCGCTGACCCGCCCTCGCCCATCAGGATCCTGCTGCCCAAGCTGATTCCGTCCGGCGCGGGCCGTGAGTGGCTGGAGCGGCGGCGCGCGACCATCCGGCCCTGGGGCTCCTTCCTGGATCAGCGGCGCTTCTCGCGGCCCCGCAATCTGGGCGAGCTTTGCCAGCGCCTCGTTCGTAATGTGGAGCACTACCAGAGCAACTATGTGTTCGTGTTCCTGGGCCTTATCCTGTACTGCATGTGAGTCCTCCGGATCCCGCCCTCGCTCGCATAGCGGCCCAGTGAGCGGCTCTGCTAGTGCAGAAGGCACAGTCCCAGGCCCCGCCCCCCCACGCTGCCCAGTTTCATAAACCCCACCCCCTCACTAACCTGATCCCTCCTCTCACTCACAGACCCCACCCCCTCGTTGAACTGACCACGCCTCTTGTTCTAGACCACGCCCACTCACTCCCCTGACTCCTCTCATTCGAAGACCTCACACCTTAACTCACTGACCCCAGAGCTCATTTCCAGACCCCGCCCCTTCACCTCTAGGCCTGCGAATTTGCTGGACCGTATCCCTGCTCCCCTATCTGTTTGGCCGGCACACTGTGTGACCAAAAGAGACCCAGCTTTGCCTTCTGTCATTTAGGGTTAGGGCCCAGCCTAGCTGCCTGACACTTTGCCTCCCTGCCCTCTTCCCCAGAGTGACGTCCCCCATGCTGTTGGTAGCACTGGCCGTCTTCTTTGGTGCCTGCTACATCCTCTATCTGCGCACGTTGCAGTCCAAGCTTGTGCTCTTTGGTAAGAAAATCCCTGCCCAGTGGGAGCCCCAGTGCCCCAAGTCTAGTCTCTTGAACTCAAGTCCTTTTGAAGTCGGTCCCCAAAACCTTATCGCTTAAGATCCTAAATATACCAGTTGTGCCCACTTAATCTCAGTCCCAGTTCCTTACACTGCACGATGACATCCCCCAGAATCCATCTCCACGCCCTAAATCTCTCTAAGCCACTCCCCTCCCCAGTCTCTGTGGAAGGCAGCAGTTGCAGATACCCACACTGGACGCCAGATGGCAGCCTTATACTGGCCTTGATCTTGGCCCGGCTGCTTGCTAGGGCGGAATAGGAAATTTGGGATTTCTCATAGAAGCTGAAGCCTTTGGCTTTTTTAGAGTGTCTCTTCCTGTGGTCCCAGCCTAGTACCAGAAACCACTGGAATGACTCGGAGCAGGGAGGCGTTGGGACCAGGAAGATCTAAGGCAAAGTCAGTGTTCTTACAGGATCGTGGTGTCACCCACATGACAGAGGTGGCTGGGGGAGGGCACGCTGGGCAAACACAGCACGTATCTACAGTCACTGCTTGACCTCGGTTGGCAGGTGTCACATGAAAATGTAGGCCAGTGTCACCCAATTTTCCCGGAGATATCAGAAAACAGTATTTTTTTGGGGGAAGTAATTTCTTTGCCAGCCACAAATCAAGAGTTTTGTGGAACACTATCCATATTAGGGGGGCTGGGAAATACAAAACAAAACACACCTGCAAGTAAGATTTGTCTCTTGAGCCCCCACTTCGAACCCCTTGGACTTCATATAAACAGGCTGGAGCAGAAGAGCCTGAGTTTAGGGGAGAGGGAGTAGAGGGTTTCCCCTTCCTAGAGGAAGTAGATTGGAGGGCAGGGGACTAAGTAGAGTGTGCCGTGTCCTGGGAGACAGTGGGGACTCCTGGGGCCAGACACAGAGGCCTTTGGCTTAAGGAGTTTGGCTTGAATCTTGAGGCCCTTGGAAGCTGTGATCCAGTTGAGGGGGTCACAGTTACTAGGAGAGAGGACGTGGAGCTTTGGAAAAGCTTCCCCCGCTGTCTGTCTCCCACCTTCCCAGGCCGAGAAGTGAGCACAGCCCATCAGTACGGGCTGGCTGGCTGCATCTCCTTCCCCTTCTTCTGGCTGGCTGGGGCAGGCTCGGCTGTCTTCTGGGTCCTGGGTGAGTCCATGGTCTGCCTAGTGGGCAGGGTCGGGGGTGCAGGCCAGGTGAAGGATCTGAGCTCTGAATGTCCCATTCCCTGCAGGAGCCACCTTTGTGGTCATCGGCTCCCATGCCGCCTTCCACCAGATCGAGGCTGTGGACGGGGAGGAGCTGCAGATGGAGCCTGTGTGAAGTGTCCGCAAGAATCTGCCAGCCTCCCGGGCCAGCCAGCCCGCCCACCTCTGTACTCCCCCAGTCCCGCATGCTGTGGCCCAGGGCCCCTTCCCCATCACAAGCCCTGGGGGACAAGCTTTAGAAATAAAGCTGTTAGAATCATCATTCCTCAGACACTCTCCCAGTGTTGTCTGTGGGCCTGTATGGAGTACTGCTCGGGGCTGAGACATCCAAGGCAGATGGGGCTTGGGATGTGAGGGAATAGCAAGATGTAGAAGTGAAATATAGCATGGCAGATGGTGACAAGTGCTAAGGAACATAAACATCTGGAAAACAGGGTGCCTGGCGTCCCCTTGATCATCCCCAGATTCAGTAGATCCCTCACATAGTTCAGGATATGCTCAGAGCTGGCATGTGTTAAGGGTCCAGGTGCAAGCTTCCTGAGTCCACCTTCCCCCTCCCTGGGAGCCACATCAGACACACTTCATTTCTCCAGAAAGAATTAAACACATGTAGTGTGTCTGCCTAGGTATGGCCAGGGTGGACCACACAGGTATTCCACCTATCATGGATCAAAACTAGACTTCCCAAAGGAAAGCGGGCATTTGTTTGGTCACAATAACAAAGCAGGCCACCCTGATCAGGGAATGGTGGGAAATGCCGCCCCGAAGTCTGTGCTCCCAGGCACCACTGACCAAGGACCTGCCATAGTCATTTCTGACTGTAAGTTCTGGATGTGGGCTGCAGATAGAGTGACCAGGGGAGGCTCCCTGCGGTGACATTGAATGAGGGGAGGAAGCAGCTGGGGTTGGGGGTTCTCTGGAAGAAGAGCTTCTGGGGCAGGGGAAGGTCAAAGGGCAGGAAACAGGTCAAGAGGTGGAAAGTCAGTTACAAAGGGCAGGAGGACATTACTGAAGTTAAGTGAGGAAGAATGGGAGTGAGGGATTGGGGCTCTATCCAGGCTTGGTGTTCCATAATCTTAAAATATTAGGTAGGATTAGAGGTCCTTTGATGGTAGGAAATGCGGAAAGATGAAAGGCAGAGCTCTTTGTAACTTTCAGAACCAAAAGAGAGATCACTGCTAGGCAGGGCCACACAGAGAAGTTTCATCTGGGAAAGTCATTTAACAGCAAGCTGGAAATTAAAGAGGTGGCTTAAAGTGAGCAAGATTGGGTTAGTGGTTTGCTGTCGCCTGGTGCATTTGAATAATGAGCTCCTGGACTTCAAGGCAGGTGCTGTCCTGGGTGGACCTGTCCCTGAGATCATTAGGATGGTTACATTGTAGCCCTGGAGTAAGAGCTCCTTAAGGGAAAGGGTCGGCTGTGTGTGGAGTTAATCAGCTGTTCAAGAGCAGAGCTGGCTTCTAGCCAGGGCCTCCAAGCTGGATCAAGACAGCAGTGTGTTCACCGAAGAAGACATTCACATGAAGAAATTTTCAAAATCCCTAGCTCTAAGAGAGATGCAAATCAAAACAACTATGAGATACCATCTCACGCCAGTCAGAATTGCAAAATTTAACAATAAATAGCAAGCAACAAATGCTGGCGAGGTTGTGGAGAAACTGCAACCCTTATTCACTGTTGGTGAGAGTGTAAAATGGTGCAACCACTGTGGAAGGCAGTATGGCGCTTTCTCAAAAAGTCGCAAATAGAGATACCATTTGACCCAGCAATTCCACTAATGGGACTATACCCCAAAGAGACCATAACTGACATCCAAGCAGATAAATGCATACCCATGTTTATCGCAGCTTTGTTCATAATAGCAAGGAGTTGGAAACAACCCAAGTGCCCATCAACAAACAAATGGATAGAGAAGCTGTGGTATATTCACACAATGGAATACTACGCTGCATTGAAAAACAAGGAACTCATGCAATATTATTCAAAACCCTGGAGGACATTATGCTGAGTGAAGTATCTCAGTCACAAAAGGACAGATACTGCATGGTGCCACTGTTGTAAAGCAGGACTGACCTCGAGGTTAGGAGGAGACTGAGAAGGATGGGTTCAATAATGTATACTGCATTGAAACAGATGAGGGAGAAAACTGTTTAAGAGGGAAAATTAATGGGTATTTTTGTCATGACAGAAGTCCAGAGCGAAGGCTGTATAGTGGAGTAGACCTGGGCGGAGGGATTATAAAACAATGAAAGACTTTTTTTTCTTTTCCAAGAGGGTAGTGTACTAGAGGGGAGGGTTGGGAGAGGAGAAAAATGCAACAATTAATGAATGGAAATCCAAAGTCTCTGTAAATTTTCATTGACATTAATAATAAAAATAACATTTAATAAAATTCAAGACCATAGCAGATGCTGTAAGTTTTGTCTTATGATAAAAAGGGGTCTTTGCCAGTCAAGAGAAATTCTTAATTCAACAATATTTAAATATTCAGCAATAATAAAAGCTATATATATTTTTTAAAAACAGTGTGTGTGTGTGTATGTGTGTGTGTGTGTTGGTGCTGTTGTTAGGTGCCGTCAAGTTGGAACCAACTCATACCTGACTCGGCAGCAGGTTTGCAGAAACGGAATTGCACAGGAAGAGATTGTCCATCTTTCTCTTGTGGTGGTGGTTATGTGCCATCAAGTTACTTGCAACTCATAGCAATCCTATGTGCAACAGCTCTGAACCCTCCTTCTCTATCCTGAGCCAACCTTATTGTCTCAGACACTCCTACCCACATTACGCCAGACTGAATCAGTTCTTCTCATCAAAGGTCTTCCTCTCTTGGCACAATTCCTCCAAACTTCCAAGCATGATGTCCCTCTCCAAGAACTGGTCCCTTCTTACAACATGCCCAAAGTATGTCAGATGGAGCTTCAGAATCCTTGCCTCCAAGGAGCAGCCTGGTTTCGCCCTCTCCAGGACAAACCTATTCTCCTAGCAGTCCATAGTATATTCAATACTCTTCTCCAGCACCATAGCTCAAAGACATTAGTTATCCTATCATCCATAGTCATTGTCCAGTTTTCTGATGCATAGCATGTAATTGCGAAGATCATGGCCTGGATCAGGTGCATCTTTAACAACAAACTGGCTGAGAAGAGCGGGAATCCCAGAACACTTGATTTTGCTTAAGTGAAACTTATGCTTGGACCAGGAGGCAGTTGTCAGAACAGAACAAGGAAACAGTGCATGGTTCAAAATTGGGAAGGGTGTACGCTGGGGATATGTCCTATCTCCATATCTTTTTAATCTATATGCAGAACAGATTATCTGGAAGGCTGAGCTCTATGAGGAGAAAGGTGGCATCAGGACTGGAGGTAGACCTATCAATCTGCATATGCAGGTGACACAACTCTGCTTGCTGAAACTGAGGAGGACCTGAGGCACTTGCTGCAGAAGGTCAAGGACTGAAGCCTTCAATATGGATTGAAGCTCAACATGAAGAAAATATCATCACTGGGCTGATTGGCAGCATCATGATAGATGGTGAAGAGACTGAGATTGTTGACAGCTTCAGTGTGCTTAGCTCTACAACCAACATTCTTGGTACCAGCAGCCAGGAAATAAAAAGGCTAATTGCATTGGGAAAATCTGCTGTCAGAGAACTCTCCAAAGTACTGAAGAGCAATGATGTCAATCTGGAGAATAAGGTGCACCTGATCCAGGCCATGATCTTTACAATCACTTGCTATGCATCAAAAGGCTGGACAATGATTAGGGATGATAGAAGGAGAATTGATGCCTTTGAGCTGTGGTGCTTGAGAAGAGTGTTGACTATACTATGGACTGCTAGGAGAACAAGTTGATCCTAGAGAGAATGAAACCAGGCTGCTCCCTGGAGGCAAGGATTCTGAAGCTTTGTCTGACATACTTTGGGCATGTTGCAAGGTACGACCAGTTCTTAGAGAAGGACATCATGTTTGGGAGGATGGACAGTGCAAGAGAGGAAGACCCTCGATGAGGTGGATTGATTAAGTGACTGGGGTAATCGGGGTGGGTGTGTTTGAGACAATAAGATTGTCACAGGATAGAGCAGGGTTTAGGGCTGTTGTACATAGGGTTGCTATGAGTAGCAGGCGACTCAATGGCACATAACAACAACGTTAAGTGCATACAAAAAAAGATACATATTTTAAGTATATAGTATTGTTGACTGTGGTTAAATACAGATAAAATAAGACTATGTATTTTAAATATACAATGTTCTATTTCAGGTATATGATTCAGTGGCATTAATTACATTCACCATGTTGCACTGTACCAGAGGAACTGGCTGACACAGATGAATTTCATGAGATAATGTATGAGCAAGAGCCTATGGTGATGAAGGAGGAAGTTCAAATTGCTCTGAAACAATTGGCAAAAAACAAGCCTCCAGTAGTTGACAGTATACCAATTGACATATTTCAACAAGCAGACATTGCCTGGATGTGCTCACTAAGTCATGCCAAGAAACCTGGAGGACAACCACCTGGCCAACTGACTGGAAAAGATCGATATTTGTTCCCATCCCAAAGAAAGGTGACCCAACAGAGTGTGGAAATTATCAAACAATATCATTAATATCACATGCAAGCAAGATTCTGCTGAAAATTATCCAGAAATAACTGGAGCGGCACGTCAACAGAGAACTGCCAGATGTGCAAGCTGGGTTTAGAAGAGGCCGTGGAACTAGGGATATTATAGCTAATGTTAGATGGATCTTGGCAGAAAGCAGAGTACCAGAGTAATGTCTATCTGTGCTTCATTGACTATGCAAAGGCTTTTGACTGTGTGGATCACAACAAGATGTGGCTGACTCTGAGAAGAATGGAAATCCCAGAAAATTTGATTATGCTTAAGCGAAACTTATACTTGGATCAAGAGGCAATCGTCAGAACAGAGCAAGGAGGCACTACATGGTTCAAAATCGGGAAGGGTGTACACCAGGAATGTATTCTGTCTCCATATCTTTTCAATTTGTATGCAGAACAGATCATCCAGAAGATTCATCAACAACCTGCGTTATGCAGATGTCACAACCCTGCTTGCTGAAACCGAGGAGGACCTGAGGCACTTGCTGCAGAAGGT